GACATAGATGATTTAAGTAGAAGGGGTTTCTGAGAAGTTTGTGGGGTATTTTTTGGGCATTAGTGTGGAGTTAGGGAAGAAGTACAATTATCCTTCAAGCCAGTATTTTGGAATTCCTGCCTTGTAGATGCTTAACGAAATGTTTTATACCAAGAGCATAATCAGAATTCCTAATAAAGTGGTTCAAAATAAAAATAAAAACTTACATAGTTTATCTAAATTATCTACTTATTACAAATATCTAATAGGTTTTGATCAACTTTAGATGATTCTTTTTTTTTTTGAAATAGGGTTTTGCTCAGTTGCCGGGGTAGAGGACAGTGGCATGATCACAGCTCACTGCAACCTCCAACACCTGGGTTTAAACAATCCTCCTGCCTCACCCTCCTGAGTAGCTGGGATTACAGCCATGCATCACCATACCAGGCTAATTTTTAAATTTTTTGTAGAGATGGGGTCTTGCTATGTTGTCCAGGCTAGTCTCAAACCTCTCGCCTTAAGTGATCATTCCACCTCGGCCACCCAAAGTGCTAGGATTACAGGCGTGAGCCACTGTGCCCAGCCAGAGTATTCTTAATGACACTTACCTGTGAAATTCTTACTTTCTAAGTAAAAATAAAATACAATCCAGCTTTCTACCTAAGAAACTCTTTGGTTGACACTGACAATATTTTATAAGAGCCTAGTGGGTAAACTGGGTAAGAAAATCCCGCTTTGCCAACACCTTGGCAGGGGGTGCTGCTCTTGACATGAAAGAATTGGGAACAGAGAGGGGCAGAAAAACCTGTCAGGTTTCCATGATAGGTCTGTAGAGCAAGACTTCCCTTCTGTTTCTGTATATTCTGAACTGTAGTTTGGCTTTATGGATTTATTTAACGGTTTTAAAAAGTGCTGAAGAGCTATTATTTTTTCAAGAAGGATAATCATATTAAACCCCAAAGAGAGAAAATTGGAAAGCCCAGTAGCATATTTTTTGTGATGATCTAGATTATGGGAAGACAAAGATTTCCATTACCACGATCACCAGGCGGAAGGCTTTTCTATTTGAAATTTTAAGAGCATCAAATGCTATACTTTATAAACGTTCAACATAAGAGATACGACTTCGGTAGAAAATTTGAACAGTAAAACGTTCGGTATGTACCATTTGTATGAAACAGAACCCACAGTTACAACTTGCTACCTTAGGGAAAATATGAAAAGATGGAGAAATAACGTATCTTTCATAAAAATGATCATTATGCAAAACAACTTATAAGCTATTGAAGCTCCATCCTTTCTACAAAATTTCATAACAACTCTTTTTACATGTGTCATGCACTGTGCTAATTATACCGACCGCACGCCAAAGGTAACATTCTCCTAACTTTGTAGGCAGCAAAACCGTGGCTCAGAGAAGCTGATTTTAATTTGCTATGGGTCACCCCCCGCCCCCCGTCAGGCTGGGGCAGAACTGTGCTCTCTTAACCACTGTGCTATGCACAGAATAATTTGAATACACTCCTTAAAATCTGACACTTGAAACAATGTGCATTCACAATTTATTTCCTAAGATATTATGTTCCTAAGTTTATTACTTAAATGTTATTTATTCTTTATGCTGATGGAATGATAATCCCCTATCTTATTCTCCATCAGTACAATTTGAGCATAGATTGGATGCTTTTCTTTCCCATAGCAATGAAAAAATAAATCGTCATTTACCTACTGGCACTCTTGCACATCTAACGATTTGCCTGAAACCTCAGCAGTGGATTTTACGACACGAGATTGGAAAGAGCTATGCAAAGTGATGTTTCCTTTCCCGCTGAGAAACAAATGAGCGCGCCCCAGCAGGTCTGACCCCGAACAGTCAGATTTGTAAAGTCACCACTTAACTCCCTGGGAGAAAAACCTTCCCCAGACGGCCGCGTGAGAAAGCCTGGCCCTCCGGGGCTGCACGAATCGGTGTTAGTCCATTTAGCCACCGTGTTTGCCTGCAATCACCAAACTGCTACCTGCATTGCCAAGGAGATTTTTAACCGCCTCACTTTTACAATATCAGATATGATCGAGTACTACCAAATTTAAAACTGATATGCAACTTTTTAAAACTTTTTTAAAAAGGGAACCTCTTAATTTAAAAGTGCTCAGTGACTCACTTCTCGAATATTGATAGAGTACTTCCTACGCTAGGCGATTTGCTGGGCACTGAGAGAGGATGGTAAACCGAGACCAGAGACCAGACTCCGTCCCCGCTTTCACTGAAACCGAGTATTCGACTTGAGGCTCCTGTCAACGTTTGCCTCAGCAGAAACAGGCAGTGCGAGTAACTTCCAGGTGTTTACTGAGTTACCAACTTAGAAACCTCAAAATGAGAATACGTGCTGCTGTCTTAACAACACACTGAATATTTTTGGTATTTCGCTTCTGGTTTTTTCCTGAGATTACTATTTATGCTTCTTGATATCTAACGCACTTAACGTGTTTATCCAAAGTTTGGAGGAAATGATAGAACGGAAAAAAACAAAAGCAGCAAATGCTACCGACGCTATGCAGGGTGAAAGCCTAAATCTAGGTAAGGAGGAGCCCATCTCAAATCCAGTGCAGCTTGCCCTGTTTCTGCTTTATCATCATAGGTCCTGTCTCTGATTTCCTCCAAGTGTAGGGAAAGCCACGCATCGCCTGTAACCCACGTCACTGACAAAGGCATAAACACTGTCCCTTTTACGTGGCCGGCCTCTCGGCCTCACCAGCATCCCTAACTATCAGGTGTTCTCCGCTCTGCTCTCTGCATCACAGGGACTATTTCAAGCCGTTGTATAATCACTTCTCTGGTTCTGTCTTCCACCTTAAATTACTTTAAAATAGTTACCGGTCATTTGACCTACATATTATTTTTTTTTCACTTCTATTTTATACTGTATTCCTAACAAATCCTTCCCCCTTCCCCAAATATAACCACAGGTGATCGTAGCCATGAAAAAAGATATCCCAGGAATTTAAATTTCATCCCAGAAGTTGGGACATTAAAAAAAACCTGTCCTTTTAGGAATGGTTATTTTGTGTGTTTGATAGCATTCACCATTTTTTTAAGGGTCAAAATACACATCAACACTGGAAGTTAAGGCAGACATAAAACGCTTAATATACAAAATACCCAGATACGAGCAGCTGCAGTCACTTGGCAACCTCCTGACATAACGCTTTTGTAAAGTGGCTTTTCTGTCTCATGACATTAAGCAAATCGTCCAGCAATTTCTTGTAACTGTCACAGATGTGAAGCTTGAATCAACTTACCTCAACGTGGTTCAAAATAGTGCACATTATGTTAAAGAACAATGGTGAGAAGGGATCTTTTAACCGCAGGAAGATAAACTATATCCACAGCTATCCGAATATGAAATAAAATGCTACGAGATAACTTATTAAAGGAGGTTTAAAAAAAAAAACATAATTTTACTTACATCAAGAGAGCCTTCATTTATAACAATCATTCCCATGTTCTTCTTCAAAAGTTTGCAGGAGTGCCCTACGTCCAAACAGAGTAAACGAGTTGATATAATTAATTTCTCCAGAGAAAACCTACAACGACGTTAAAGCAATAGCACGTACTAACAAAATATCTAAAGATGGATTCATTAAGAGTGATGGCAGCCAGCTGTTTTCCAGGTTTATAATAAGTTAAAAATGAAACGCTCTTGCTTGCTAAACAAGGGATATGTTACAAGGACAACATCTGGGCTGTTAATGCTATCCGGATAAAAAATACGGAGAGAGATTGCCGTAAGGATTCTCAACGTCCTGAAAGCTGACAGATGCCCACGCAATGCCCTTCGTGATGAGCAACATGAGGAGTAAAAGATGCGCCAACGATCATTTCCAGAGAAGGGAGCAGGAGGGCAGTTATCTCTTGGAGCCACTGGTCTCCACCACCACCATTTAAAGTTCTACTGGCTACTTTTTTTAAAACAAAAATTAATTTTTTATTAATAACATCAATTTAGTATAAATTTGCAGTAGACCTGTATTTATAGGACACCTTAGACAGAGTGCTAACACTCCTAAAATAAAATTAGCTATATTTTTAAAAACAGAGAACACTTAAAAATGACTTTCTGAAAATGTAGTTTCATGGTGTGAACGTCTCCGAAATGTTTTTTTCCCAACGTTGGGGAGTTTTCTATGAATATACATGATGAATATCAAAAGGCTGAATCTGTATCAGGGTTTACAGCGCTCATGCTGATCACCGAATTTGGGGGAAAAAAGAGTGGTTTTTTGGGGGGTATATCACTGACACTACAGTCTTCTAACACCAAATACTAACTTTCTTCTCAGGAACACGTCTGTTACGGACTGAATTGTGTCCCTGCCCCTCCAATTCATACGCTGAAGCTCTAACCCCCAGAGTGACTATGTTTAGATACAGGGCCTCTAAGGAGGTTCCTAAGAATAAACAAGGTTGCAAGGATGGGGCCTGCTATGGGTCTGAATGCTTGTGTTCCTCCAAAGTTCGTACGTTGAAACCTAACCACCAGTGTGATGAGGGGAGCAGGTGAGGTCTTTGGGAAGTGACTAGTCACGAGACCTCATGAAAGGGATTGGAATTGGTGCCCTTCTAAAAGAGGCCCCAGAGAGCTGCCTTGCCCCTTCTACCACGTCAGAAGGGAGCCATCCACGAACGAGGAAGGTGGCCTCCATTAGATACCAAATCTGCCAAGGCTTTGACCTTGAGCTTCCAGCCTCCACAACTGTAAGTTTCTGTTGTTCATAAGCCACCTGGTTTTATGGTATTTTGGAGTAGCCCCCAAATGGACCAGGACAGGGCTCTGATGCAAGAGGACCAGTGTTGTCATGAGAGGAGGCAGAGACGCCAGGAATGCACGCGTACAGAGCAAAGGCCACGTGAGGACACAGAGAGGCTTCACCAGAAACCGACCCTGCAGGCACCTTGATCTTGGGCTTCCAACTTTCAGAACTGTGTGAAAATAAACTTCTGTTATTTAAGTCACCTAGTCCGTGGTATTCTGTTACGGCAGCCCGGGCTAAAATAAACTCTCTCTAAAAAACTGAAGTTAACTCTAGAATGAGTGCAAACTGGCAACCTTCTTCCTTCCTTTGTCTCTTTGGTCACATCAGGAAGTGTCAATGCACAAGTCTGCCATAAGCCCAATCTCCAGATTTTCACAACCAACTGCAGAAACGTTATCTACCTGTGCCGCTCATGGACAGAACGTGGAGTAGAAGGAGACGCAAAGATGAGAGGAGGCATCGTGCGATTGCAAGAGCTGAAGTTTAGCTGGATATAAAACCACTGCAACTTTAAAGGCGTCCTGGGGCCATAAGTAAACAGGAAGCCTAGTATTATTATAAATCTGGAATCCTGCAACACCAACTCTTTCAAATCTTGAAACGTCTCAGATCCATCTTCCAAAATATATCAACCTTAATTTGATCGTTACACATTATTTGCTTGTATAAAAATACCACATGTACCCCATAAATAAGTACAACTACTACAGCCATAATTGAAAATAAAAAATTAAAAAACGCATCAACCTATTAAAAAGCACCACGATTTAACGCTCGAGTTAGGCGAATTACCAATGTTAATGGCAGTCTCTTGCTTGTCCCCTGTGAGAATCCAGATTTTGATGTCTGCTTTCATCAGAGTTTCTATGGTTTCAGGCACTTGATCTTGTAATTTATCCTCGATGGCTGTAGCTCCAAGTAGCTGAAGATTCTGGAGAACACGAGCGGTAAGAATTTTAAGAAGAAAACCAGTTTAGAATCCTTAAGAACAAAAAAACCGAAGCGTGTATACGTTTTAAAATCAGAGACTGAATGATAATCGGCACGAATTCCAACGATGCCGTTGAATTTTCTAACTTAAGAATCCTTGACTTTCTTCCAGTCCTCAGGCCTGAGAGGGAGGCTCCTCGAAGCTGTCTTACGTGGCTCCTCCCTAAAGTAAGGGACTGATTCTAAAAACACACACATAAGAAGAGGTGGCGGTGGTAGGGAACCAGAAGTCGGTCAAAAAGGAGCAGGCATACTAAGAAAAAATAAACAAACAAAAGACTATGGGAGATAACCACAGCAAAGAGGGAATTTTGTTGACCTGTTCGAAAAAGACTAAGGGTGCATGCTACTACTACTAAATTGTATTATAATGTGATGCAGTGTCGGGAAACAGACACACATGATACAATTAGAAACAATGAGGAAGAGAAGGATAGACAAAGCCATAGCATCGGTCTCTGCAAGGAAGAACAGGCTGAGCATTTTTCCACATCGTTCCACATCTGCGTAGTAGAAGGTCAGACTGTTAAAGATCGTGTGCTCGTTAGATGGTGTATGAGCCCGAACACAGGCAATACGTTCTGGGAAAAGCCGTCCTAACCTCTCACGAAGAAGAATGGTTTCTCCTTTCGTCTTCCTAAAGGAAGGAGGTGGTAGGTGTGGGGGCGAGAACGATCTCTTGCATGTTAAGGAAACCTGGTTTGCCAAAGAGACACAGGCAATGGTGGTCTTGGTCCGAAATACACAGGAATGCACAGCGATGGATTAAGATTTAGACGTTTCTTTCCAGCACGTGACCAGTGCTGTAACTCGCTGGACGCCCTCCCAGCGGTGCTCTGCAAGCCACAACCAACGATTCTCAGTCTCCCCCAGTCTTCCCTACAACCCAACCTCCGGCGTGACCCGCTTCGGCATTTCTCTTTCTCCTCAACCTTTTTCTCCCTTCTTGACTTCATTTGTTATTTAAAACACAGGCAAGGGCAGAATGGATACAAGGGAAATCGAGTGCTGTGGGTATCACTGGAGTTGGTGATAACAAAGCGGGCCATTTTCCACTTTTCCTTATTTTTCGCCACAACCGGAGTCTAGAATAGTCTGAAGTTTTGGTTAGGCATGGAAAATAAAGTAAATAATATATATCAACGTGTAAGAATGTGTGTGTGTACAAGCCTCTAATTTATGCCTGTATTAGTTAGGAATGCTTTTGGCTGCAAGCAACAGCAAAATGTGACTAACAATGGCTTAAATAAAGGTTTAATTTCCTCGCATAAGCAGCACTGAAGCAGGCAGCTGTGGACGTGAGCCTGGCAGCTTAGCCGTATGCCAACTCGTTCTCCTGACCTCTGCCAGTGTCTCAAAGTGGCTGTCACTGGGATAATTATAACAGCCACACTGCAGACAATAAGAAGAAAGTAATACCAACTGTAGCTGTCTCTTATGTGCAAAAGAAAAGCATTTCTAAAAGTCCTCAGCATATTTCCAAATATGGCTAGTTGGCCAGATTGCATTACACAGCTAACCCTAACTAGTAGTATTTAGCTTGTCCAG